TCCTGTAACTCCGGGACCCAGCTTTCCAGACTGCCACATGCAGGAGCATCCTCATAGTCTGTCTGCATTCTCTGATGTCCTCAGCCCTACTCAAACTATTGTGTATGTGGCTTATGTACACTGCATCCAGAGTGACCGTCACTTCAGAACAGATCGTGTTGTGCACACGTGCACACACACACACATACCCATAGAAAACCCTGCCGGGGACTCTTTTATTTATTTATATTTTTTTTCAGTTGGAGTCTCACTGTGTCGCCCAGACTGGAGTTCAGTGGCCGCTCCCGGCCACTGCAGCCTCGACCTGCTGGGCTCCGGCGATCCTTCCACCTCAGCCTTCCGTGTAGCCGGAATTATAGGCGCGTGCTACCATGCCCGGCTAAATTTTTGATTTATTGTAGAGATTAGGTCTTACTGCCCAGGCGGGTCTCGAACCCGCGGGCTCAGGCAATCCACTCACCTCAGCCTCCTAAAGGCGCAGGATTACAGGCTGAGCCATGGAGCCCGGGTTGCTGGGGACTCTTAACATACAGTGCCCAGATCCTCACCATGGCATTCACAGTCCTGGGAGTCCAGCCCCGCCTCTCTCCCCACCCACATCTACCACTCTTTCTCCTGTCTCCCCACCAGTCATGAAGCCCTTTCTGAAGTTTGCTGATCTGCTATATTGCTTCCTTCATAGTCTTGCACATGCTTTTCCCTCCGCCTACAATATTCTTCCCACCCCTCCTCCTTACTCATGACTTCGGCTTTTGGCATAAATGTCGTTTTCTCGGGGAAGCCTTTCCTGGCTAAGTCAAATCCATCAAGTCAAGTCTATCTGTGTTACCTCCTAAAACCTCAGGCCTATCCTTTGATGCATTTGGCACAGTTGCAATTTTATGTATATCTAGTTGAGTGTTTCACAGATATATTTCTTCCTAAGTAGGCTGCAAGCTCCAAAAGTATACTTTTGGACTATCATGGGTTTTTATTTAAATTTTTGTATGTTTATTTTTGCTTTGTTATTGTTGTTTTTTATTGTTTTGATCTGTGCTTGGCACTTGATAGCTGATCTTAAAAATATCAAATTAATGAATCGCATTTAATTTTCTCTCTTCATCCTGAATGCCCATAACTCCATAATATGGAGTCATGTCACATTTTTTTCATCTTGTCATTAATATGCAATGCCTAGCCTTGACCCCAAGTTCCGCTCTCCCAATAATGCCCGTTTTGCTTCCCATGATTGACTTACATCCATTTTTTAAGGTTTGGCTCTAATTTTTCTTCTGTAAGATCCTCTGAAAACCATGCTAATCTTCAGTAAGCACTTTCTTTGGTAAGTTTTAATTTTTACTTATTTTTAATTTTTTAATTTTAAAGATGGGGGTATAATTCAGGGTTAGGTATACAAATGTTCATCATGCAGTTACCCTTGTTGATGAGGTGTGGTCCCCCTTCCCCAGGCAGTTTCCCACTACTGTCAGTCCCATCTCCCCACCATCCCATACCCCCACAGTTTCCTGCTACTGCCACTCCTTTTCTTATAGTATTACGATAATTTTTCAAGGTCCGCTCATGAGTGAGAACGTGTGATACTCAGTTTTTTGTTTCTGTGAAAGATCACTCAGTATTATAGACTCTAGGTCCATCCAAGTTGCTGTGAAGTTGATGATTTTGTTCTTCTTTATGGCTGCATAATATTCCATTGTGTATATGTACCACATTTTTAAAATCCAGTCCTTTTTTGATGGGCAGCCTAGTTGGTTCCATGTTCTTGCTATTGTAAATAATGCTGCAATAAACATATGTGTGCAGGTATCTTTTTTGTAGAGTGATTTGAGCTCTTCTGGGTATATTTCCAGTAGGCGGATTGTGGGGTCATAAGGAAGACCAATTTTTAGGTCTTTAAGGAATCGCCACACTGTTTTCCACAGAGGCTGTACTAGTTTGCACTCCCACCAACAGTGTAGAAGTGTTCCCTTTATGCCACATCCTCTCCAGCATCTGTTCTTTGGTAAGTTTAGAACTCACCACCTCATTTTACGTGTCATGATTTATTGCGTCACTCTGTTGTTTCACATATGATAACCCATTTGCCTAGTCAGATTGCAAGTCTCACAGATGCCAGATCATTTCTGTGTCCTCTGAGATCATAGACATGCTGTCTAGAATATAATGGGGGGACAAAAAATGTTTGCTGAAATAATATGTATATCCAGAGGCTGAACTGCAAAAAGAAGTTCTGGGAAGTTCCTAGAATAAAAATAAATGTATCTGGGATTCAAACACAAGACTAATAATGGATTTTAGTCCTTGCCTTCGTCCATGGACCCATCTCTTTTTAAGAATTTGCAGTTCTTAAGCTAAAGGTGACTGCTAATGTGATGTCAGCACTGGAATCTCAAAAACTCTTTTCAGGGTTTGACATTAATGAGAGGGTCTTGTCTTTGTCATCTTAAAATGGCCATATTCACCTCTCCAGGTCACAATTCACATAATTATTTTCGAGACTTGAAACATCTTCCTGTCTGTAAAATCTTTAGCGTTCCCAGGCATACGCTTAATTATTAAGTTGAATAAGCTTTTTATAATTAGGATGCATTTTCAGGAAGCCAAATGACTCTGTGCTAAACCATATAAAAATCTCATCTAAAGTTATTTGAAAGGTAATTCCAGAAAATCATTTTCAGTATCACAAGACATATTAAAAAACTTTGTTGACACCACCTATGAGCTGGGATATGAGACATAAAGAATGCTTAGAACCACCTCCATGACACCCTACAAAACTAATGAGAAGTCATTACGTGTGTGACCATCAGATACTACTGTATTACGGTATGGTACAATCTTACCATCTCATCATATTACAGATGAGTTATTAATTTTATCAGTTGTCACTGAAGTAAGGAAAATACATTTTCAAGAATAAAAAAGGATGGAGCCACATTTTTTCCTAGAGTGCAGTAGGTATTTGCCAACATGGAGACTAGACTGCAAAACTATAAATGATTTGTGTTTACCATGTCCAAAGTATATTGGTGGAAAAAAGAATTTTCAATTGCTAATATAAAAGATTCTAAGATGGCAATGCATAATGCATGCAGTGAGGTATGCATTATTTTTATCAGTTGTGCAGAGCAATGAAAAAGAACAAAAATGAATGTTGCTGTATTAATTTATTAATTTTATCGGTTTTCATTGAAGTAAGGAAAATAAATTTTCAAGAATGAAATAGGATGAAGCCACTTTTTTTTCTAGAGTGCAGTAGGTGTTTGCTAACATGGCAACTAGATTGGAAAATATAAATTATTTGCATTTATAGTATCCAAAGTACATCAACAGAAAAAATTAATATTCAATGGCTAACATATAAGATTTTTACGGTATCAATGCATAATCATAATGCATGCAGTGAGGTAGATATAGAGCTCCGTGAACTTTTTTTTTTTTTGAGTTGGAGTTTCACTCTGCCCAGGCTGGAGTGCAGTGGCACACTCATGGCCATCCCAGCGTTGACCTGCTGGGCTCAGGCGATCCTTCAGCCTCAGCCTTCCAAGTAGCTGGAACTACAGTCGTGCGCTACCACACCTGGCTAATTTTTTATTTATTGTCTCGCCAAGTTGCCCGGGTTTGTCTTGAATCCGCAGGCTCAGGTGCTCCATGAACTTTTATGCACATATATTCACCCATGTAACCATCACCCACATCAATATATAGGACATTTCTAGCCCTGTAGAAGCCTTCCTTGCCTTTTCCTTGTCAAATCTCACCTCTTGTCACACTGTAGCATTATCTTGATTTCTATCACCATTGATTAGTTTTGCCTGCCTGATTATGAAAGTATCTATATAAATGAAGAGATACACCGTGTTTTGTTTCTGGCTTCTTTCATCCACCGTTCATGCTGCTGTGTCCATAGTTTGTTCTTTTTTTTTATTGCTTTGCACAATTCCATTGTATGAGCACACCATGCTATGTCTGTCCATTTTTCTGTCCATGGACATTTGAGTTGTTTTCCAGGTTTTAGTTATTATGATAAAAGGTGCTATGAACATCTTTATACATGCCTTTTGATATATTTACTTATATCTCTCATATAAATCCTTAGAAGTGAGATTGCTAGGCTATGGTAGGCATGTGTTATTTAATTATAGTACATACCACCAGACAGTTTCTCAAGTGATTGAACAATGCTGTATTTGAACTCATGAACAGAATATATGAATCCAAGGTACCTACTATTGCATAGTATAGGTTGTGCCATGTGCTTCTGATTTATTAATATGAATTGACATTTTAAAAGTATATTATATTAACTGGGGCACTAAAACTTGACCAGCCCAAGTGACAGTTAAAATTAAAGGTGAAAGAAGGTTGAAAAAACATTTGGAGTCTAATATTCCATTTTAGAAATTCAGTTTTATGGATGGGCATTAAGCAATTGAAACTTTAATAAATTCTGTCATGTGGTGAATTACTCTTTCCTTCAGAGTGCTGGGAATTAATGTTTGGAGATTACAATTAATTAATAGTAATTTAGAAAAATATATTAAGAAACTTGTTTGCCTTGGTCAAACAAGAAGGCATTATGGCATTATTCAAAACAGATACATGAGCAATGATAGTGATTTGGGCTAAACATATTGTTCTCTTGAATAATTGAAGTTTATTTCTCCTATGCCTGATAAAAAATAACATCTTAATGTCCCAGGCTCATTCCATTATTTTTCTATCAATTTGTCTTTTGCTCTCCTAAAGCTGTAAAGTATATTTTTTTTCATGTGCCCAGAGAATTGTCTGGCTTGCTTTCACTATAATTTTCCTGCTTTCAATTTATAAGTTGTTTTGGAAGGAAGGAGATGTTTCTTTTATCTATTTACAAGAGATTGAAAACTAGAGAACACCAAATTTTCTGTGCAGAGACACAGGGGCATAGAAAACCCCACACAAAGGTCTCCTATCATTTCCTTCTGAATGTGAAATAAGATGTGATTTTGCTTTTTCTGTTTCAGTTATCTCAGGGATCTCCAGAACCGATTGAGCCCAACTTTTTTACAACAGATTATCATTTATTACGTCATTCATCTGGTGGTAACAGCCTGTCCCCAAACGACCTGACAGGTAATGGTCATCAGCATGGGTGATCTGGCTTTCATAAAGACATGTATTATTTGGATCAACATCTGTCCCCAAAAGATTATTTTCAAGTTAAGAAGAAATAGAGCTTATTTTGATTATCCATGGCAATAGTTGGAAGGGACACATGGTAGGAATCTAAAATTTCCTCATGATTTATCTTACACAGTGGTGGCAGTTTCTGTGGTGATCATGTATTAATACCATCAACAAACAGCGGAGTCTGTGTGGGTGAATTGTATTTCCTTTAATTTCTTCTTGCTTATCTGATGATAGGAAATCAAATGCCTGAAGCATCGAGGGAGATAAAAAGCAAAAATCAAGAGTTTAAATTTTCAAGATACAGAAAACTTGGACTACTTGGAAAATCCGCATTAGACTTGTTTATTTATTTATTTATTTATTGCATAAATTTCACATAGGGACGCAATTAAAGGCATGGATTCTGGAAACCTGGATGCCTAGCTTAAGATCTTGTGTCAACATTTAGTAGCTGACCTTGGACAAATTGTTTAACCTTTCTGAATCCCAGTTTCCTTGCCTGTAAAATGGAGCTAAAGTGCCTGTCCATTGGTAGAAACTCAGCATCGTTGAACTCTTCCCATCACATTTGAACTCTAAGAGAAAGTTTTCATGCTACCCTGAAGTTTCAGAATCCCTACATGATTTTTGAGTCCTTATAAATTATAGTTATGTCACTTGGTGAAGTGGATAGAATTGAAGCTTTTGTAGTTAAATGAAGACTTACCATTTCTTCAACTTGGAAAATGTTCACTTTTGTTGTTGCTTAAGCAAGTTATTTCATGTATTAATTAACAAGCTTTCCTTAAGTCTTGGACTCCTGGGATGTTGGCAGAATTTGATTTAAAACAGTCCCTGAGAAATCCATCAGATAAAGATAAAATGTTGTATACAGTCATTTGCTTTTATAAGCCTCTCCCAGGACAGGTAAGTTTATCTGTAGGCTAAACTTTTTATCATAGCAACTGTGATGAAATGAAGAACTTTGATGGAAGCCTCTCAACACCTGAGACCGAGTTGACAAACTCCCCCCAGGTCAGCTGCATGCTCTACCCCAGGGCGAACTGGGCTTGGCCTGTGGCACAGCATGCTGGGCACAAGCCTGCTGGCACTATGGGGAACGCCTTTAAACTTGGCTTTAAAAATGAGCTGCCAGTACTCACACCGTCATGCTTCCCCTTGACCTTCAACCCATTCTTATTTCTCTCTCCAGGGTGGCAGGGGAACTTCTGAGCCTTCACGGGTCAGTGTTGGTTGATTTGAGTGAAAGCTGGTCCTCACTGCTTTGGATGGCTTTGGAGGGGGTTAAGTGTTGATATGCACTTTGACTCCCCATCAGAAAGTCTTGTGACATTACATGTGCTTTATTTCCCGTGAGGCAGCCATATGGCAGGGTCAGATCTCTGTTGCCTTTCTCATCAGTTTCTGCCTCTTTATGATCATTAATTTTCCTTCTAGCACATATTTACTGTTTTTGCTTTGTGAACCAGGGAGAGTTTCTTGAGCGGAAAACTCACTCATCAGGTAATTTGTATTTGGAATCACTTCTCACCTGGCCTTAACACATACCTGGATACCCTGACTTAGCTGGCCAGTATAGTCTATGGACAATGCCCCTGAATCTTTGTATATTACTTTGGGATGGCCATGCATAAAGCACCAGGTTATTAAAGAAATAAAAGCAAAAAGTTTGAGCATTCAAAGCCAAGATATTTTGGAATTTGCTTTTAAATTTTGTCTTTATCATTAAGAAATTGATTGGTTTGGACTGTAGTTGAAGCCATAATTGCCAGTAAAGGTTAACTGAGAAAATGTGAACCAAATGTCAACTTTCCATAATTTATCTATTTCAGGTCTGCCTACAAGTTCTGACTTGAAGGAGGGAATAACATATGAGCAGATGCAGGTGAGGTTTTTTTGCAGTGTCTCTGAATGGTTTTATCTTGTTGCTCATCATTCAACACTAATCTAATGTTTTTTAAATTTTAGACTGTGATTGAAGAAGTCTTAGAGGAAAGTGGTTATTACAATTTTACATCTAACAGGTAAGATCTAGAAGATTGTTTCAAATGTCAAAAATAAATTGAAATCATCGGATGTTAGATCTGATTTCACTATTCTTGATTCCAGAGATAATTTTTTGCCTTCAACTTTTACTTTACTTTTATAAAATATCTTTGCTTAGACTAGTTACACCCTTGAGTGGAATATTATGTTGCCCAACTTCTGTGTGGACATAGTTGCTGTATTCTCTGTTTAAACAAAAAAGGGTGATTGCTCAGTAGTAATTTACTCCCATAAAAAATAATAAACATAATTATATGGAAAAGCAGTTCTAGTTTTTTTTAAGTTAAATATTTGTTTGTCCCATTCTAGAAGAGCTAGGAACTCAGATTTCTATCACTTTAATCTACCCATTATTTGCATAGAAGTCTAGGGAAAAAAGTGCAACTGAACAAAGAATCACTTCAGGTGAATTTAAGACATGTTTGTGAGGAAGGGATTTTGCTATGTATTCCTATTTTGCTTACCCTAAACAATAAACTTCTGCTTACTGGGGCCTGTATACAATAGTCTAACATAACTATTATTGGCAGTCTAAAAATACACTCTGTTTTATCAATATCATCCAGTTCTGGATTCCTGTAAGTTTACTTTTGAACACAGTGTCGGCCCAACAATTTGAATATAATTAGTTTATTTGAGAGGTGATTCCAGAAAACATTGGTAGGAGAATGAAGAAGTCATTCAATAAAGTTTTCATAATTAGACAAGTTATCATTATGGGTGACTGGAGCTTGAACCCACTGGAGAAATCTGAAAGCCAGTGTAGAGCACATACCTAAGTTATTACTTTCAAAGAGTGAGGGAATTGGGGTATTTATCCTCCATACTCCATCAATTCTTATTTGAGATCTTTCCCTAGGAAATGTTCATTCCCTAGTATTTCTAGCCTTTTATAAATGTGAACAAAGAAGGCCTAGAGACCACAGAAATACTCAAAAAAGAAATGCTGGTACTGGCATTTGGAAATCTGGCCAGCGTGCTTTGAAGTTGTGTAGATGAGGGGGCGTGAACATGTATGGTGTCTGCTACACACAAGTTGTCTCTTGATTTTTTCAAGGAACCTACTCATAGCTGAATCATCACATTGATTGCAAGGATCCACATATATCCTCTAAAGGGCTCAAGATTATTTTAGGAGACTTAGTTCTTTGGAGTATATTCTCCTAGGGTAGCCGTTTATACTTGGAGGAACTGCCTTCCTTTCCTGCCTTTGAAGCTATTTTGTGACCACTATTTTAAGCTTTTCCATAAGTTTTCCCCAAAGATACTTAGTAAACATGATAAGAAAAAGAAGGCTCAAGAATACCCTGTTAGGGTATTATATGGAAATTGGATTATTTTTAAAGGTTAGTTCAGTCCCTGGTTTGTTTCTTCTTCTTCTCCTGTTTCAAGGAGTTTTTCTTATAAATCACAAATAAGATTATTCAACTACTTGCTCTTTTGGCTTGATAATATGGTTTCAAAATACTACCTTTATAAATTTAGTTCTGTTGTGATTTGTAACGGCAGAGACATGATGAGTAATTCTCATTTTCCAAATATATATCGTTAATAGAAATTACCATCTCCACAACCACTTTCCTCCCACCATCCCTGGAGAGATGTTTGAATTTTCATTTTCTACTCAAGGGCTGAGTATATCCAGCCTTTTGTGGATAGCATGGATATTTCTGTTCTTGATTCTCAGCATCTTCATTCCTTCAAATGCCCTTGGCTTATAAAGGGGCAAAGATCACTCATTTTATCTGCCTGTCTTCAGAGACTCAGGATCATGGGCAATTAATATCTTCATATGTTTGTAGAAAATCAACTAAATATCAATGAGAAACCCTTATTTTTCCTTTAAAAATAATTATTTAAGTCTTTCTTTGGAATATATATTTTTTTCAGTTTGACTTTCATTAAGTTTTTAAAAAATCTAGTTTCAAAAGCGTATTCCTTTATTAAAAGTTATTGCAAAGTTCCTTATTATGATAAACAGATAACAAGATGCCTAGTAACAAAAGCAAAAGATTATTCATAACTATATTTGAAATTGTGAATAGAATATGAAGGCATGATTTGAACAGTCAAGCTCAAGCAGTATAAGTTAGATATGACATTAAAATTTTAAAAAATGCTCCAAATTAAAACACATCATATTTAAAAAATCTATATGCCTATGATATTCCCTTTTTGGCTTCTAATAGCAATGACAGAACATATCTTGGGAGAAAAACTCTTCACAGTTTCCTGGTGAAAATAACTCTTAGTTGTACCTCAAGCCACTGCTTATTTATGAGGATTCCAAGTTAATTCCCAAGAAATAAGTCAGGCTTCACTTAGAAGCATTTAATAACCCACATGCTGGAAATACATATAACTCCAGATACAAACCAGATCAGCTACAACTGTCATGACTTTTCCGCAAAGGATGGAGGATGCCAGATGTCACAGGACATGTATAGGACATTAGAATCAGAATTGAGAATTGGTAGACCGCATGTGTCTTCAGTAGATTCCACAGAATGGCCAATATTACCAAAGATGTTAATAGATGTTCTCTGAAAAATAAAATTTCATAACTAAGTATATTTGGGAAACTCAAAATGTATAATTTTTCGTTTTGGGGGAATACTAACACCCATTACAATCTTTTTTTTTTTTTTTTAAATAATTAATCAGTATTTTTAT